GCGCGTTTGAGCAGTCCGTGCGGTCAACGAATCAACGATTCACGAATATACTTGGCAGTGTATAGATATCAGAAAACCAATCACAAACTGGATATGCGAGTAAAAACTCAATGGAACGGTTTTATTTCACGAACACATGAAACACACATGTAAGCTCAATTGCGGCAATAAGGACATTTGTTCTGTCTACGACTACAGCTTTCTTCGGCATGCGAATCGTAGAATGGAGGAGGTCCATACATATACTGAGGATTCATGTTCCAGGGAATGTAGCCCCATGGAGGGTAGTAACGGTGATAATGTTCGGAAGGTGATAGAGAGCGATGACGGCATTTCGATCGATGGTGTTTGGAGATGGACTCACTTCTTGAGGTTTCCTTCTTTTCTTCATCCTTCCCGCTCTCTTCATCCTCATCGCTGCTTGAACATGACACCAGTCCATGATCAGAGTTATCACTGCGGACGTAAAGGTTGATATAGTTATAGCCCCTATCAACAGCTTCCTTCAGATTGTCAGCAGTTCTAATTTCACTTGAATCGTTATTTTGATCGATGAAGTAGAGCTCATCGGTGTTGAAGGGTAGGGTTTTGAGTTGCTGCTTGAACTTTTTGAACAGATCCTTCTTGTCCTTGTAGGAAATAGTGATTGTTGGAATATTCGCATAGCAGAGCCTGACGTTGACTTCACGGTCCTCAGACATTGTGGTAGAATAGATTTGCTCACAGCCTAGTAAACTAACGTGGCTTTATATAGGGCGAAGTTCGAAAAGACGGCATAATTCTACGAAATATTGCACAACTATCTTGCTGTATTGCTGCAGTTTTTTAACCCCATGCGTGCCGCTTTACTGCCGATTGTTGGTTGTGCAATATTATGCAACAATGCAAGATTCCACTCACTTCTCAAGAACCTATAAAATGAATTTGAGCGATCACTTCTCCCTTCTTCCTCCATTATGGCTGATGAGAACAGCGTCTCCTTCAAATTCCATGTCAGACTCACATCCGCCTTTTCTATCAAGTACAAGGATAAGAATGACCTCTACAAGAAGTTCTTGAAGAAGGCAAAACGACATGGTTTTCCTGTTAAGGGCAAATTCTATGGCTCCAATCTCGACGGCGACATTCGTGTGATAAGGAACGCTGATGAACTCTTGGCTACTCTTGAAGATCATTACAAGCAAAAGTCTACTTTCCGTGCCCGTCAAGTTTGAATTGCTTCCACCCGTGCTTTGACTGCGATTACGAAGAGAAACACAAAAATGAAGACGGAAGAGAAGCGATCAGCGAGAGGAAAAATATGTTCCGCATGCACGCGTTCCTCCTAGAAGAAGCGTACAATGTGAGTCTCACGAAGATTTCTGTCCACGTTACGTCATGCCATGGGCATACTGGACGAGTTCTCCTTGTTTTGGTCGCCATCCTCATGGCTACGCAGGTGATGAACTACCAAAATGTGAAAATCGGATTTGTCCTTGCAAGTTCCTCTGTAAAGACTTTGAGAATCTATAAATCGAGTGGTTTAGTTTTTGTGTCCTTGAATAAATTAAGGTTTGCTTTGCGTTTTTTGGAGCTCGATGTGTTTTCTTTGATTGCTCCTTCGCTATCAGCACCAGAGGTCTCAAGATCAGCGTTGCGGGTAAGCGCAATGCATTCTTTTCCATTAGAAACCAGTGCGTGCGAACATTCAGATAACTTGCTCAAGCCATTCGGAGACTAATTCAGTGCTTCAAGACTACTCTGATGCAGTAAAGCTAGCTCCTCACTTGTTCGTTTCGCTTT